ACTAAACCTGTAAAGAAACAGTTTTTTTTTGTTTTTGAAGGATAAATGGTGGCATCGATTGGAAGAATGTTATAAGAATAGAAGTTTCTATAATTTGGATCATCTGAATCGTATGCTGAATTTGTTTGACGAATTTAAGGATCGCCTACAAAACTGTTGTGCAACAGCAGTTGCAATATTTTTTCTTCAGTATGTGTGCTTTAAAACTTTTCTTTTTTGTTTTTTTTTTCGTTTATATTGCTTTTTCAACAACTTTTTTTTTTTGTTTCTCAATTAAATGGTTTCATCAGTTTTTAGTTTTTTTTTTATGAATACATTTATACGGTGTTAATTGGTGAACATAATTTTGATGATAATTTTTTTCTTGTAAACTTAATGCATTGACAAGAGGAGCATTGAATGTATTCCGATACAGTGCGATAAAAGTTGATTGGTATTCGGATTCGGATTCGGAAGAAGATATTCCATAAAAAAATAGCAGCAATAACAACAACAACAAAATTTATTGTTTCCATTATTATTTTTTTTTTTTCTGACGATTACACATATTTTGCAGCAACTTTTTCACTTTTTTTTTTTTTTTTTTGGCTAAAAAATTTGCTTCTTTTTCTTCTGTCTTCCACCTTTTTGCACCTTTTTTTATTGTTTTGATGGTACAACAAAACTGTTTAAATTGATTGTTTACAAGAAGCAAAAAAAAAAAACAATAACTTTCTTTTTAACTATACTTTTAACACTTCTTTTTTTTTTTTTTTTCAACCGGTATAAAACACCAGATGACAACAATTTTTAGCCAAATTCTCTCCTCAACAATACGCAGTTTTAGGTTAAAAATTTGATAACGGAGTCGAGAAGGGGGAATGATGGAAGGGGGGGAGGAAAGAAAAAAGGATGGATGGGGAAGTAATCCGCTAAGCAACTTTCAACAAAAAAAAGAAACACGGCTTAACTGTTACAAATCCAATCATATTTTTTGCTTTTTTTCATCAAAATTCAATTACATATACTCTTTTAAATGGGACAAACTTAGAAATAGGAGAAAAGCAAAAAAAAAAAAAAAAAAAAAAAAAAAA